GAGTTTGACTCTCTTTCCTATTTTGATAAGCTTCGACTGGTTCCATTTTCTTTTTAAGCAAAAGACATGACGGATCTTTATACCTCTCCACCATTCCACGTTTCATGTAACTGAATGCTTCTTCAATGGCATAAGCATCACCATAATTAGCAATGGTAGCACCAAGAAGTTCAAGAGCATCAACTATTTGTTCCTTTGTACATTCCGGTCGGCTGATAAAATGCTCCACCATTTCAGTTTTACATTGATTACTGGCTTTAAGAAGTGGCGTAAGCCGCTTAAGATTGTGCGTTTGTTTTGCTCCCAAAGCTAGCAGCTTATCAACTATCTGAACGTGTCCCCTTCCTGCAGCATAATGAAGACAATTTTGTCCATAATTGTCTTCTAGATGTATATTTGCGCCATTTTCGACAAGAAAAGAAACAACATCCATGTGACCATTGTAACATGTTACCATCAGAGGAGTACTATTGACAGAATTTCGTGCATTTACATCGGCCCCGTTCTCAACCAAACACTGCACAACATCAAGGCGTCCATAGAAAGCAGCAGATGTCAAGGGAGTCGCATTTCTCGATAACCTGCCGTCGACGTCGGGGTTTTGTTCGATCAAGAGTCTCACAACCTCAAGATGACCATTAGTAACAGCGGTCCACAAAGCTGTGCAACCCTCCCAAACCTTTCCTTCAGCTTTAATCGATCCACGAGCCTCGATGTTTGCTTCATAACGTAAAAGGACCCTCACAGAATCCAGTTTTCCATCACGAGCAGCGATGATGAGAGGAGTCGCAAGGTCGTCGCCATCGTTGATTTTCGTTTCCAAAGTGGTTTTTCTTATGTCGGCTTTCATCTCCTCTAACACATGAGTCAGACGAGAACTGTCGTCCAAAGCAGCTTGAAGAGCATTTGATGCGTTACTACGCACGGATGCATTACTAGCCATTTAAGAAAAACACGAGCAAACGGGCCTCAAGATTCTCTCCCACGCTCAATTTGAATTGGGTATGCAAAGGAACAAACGCAACCTTCGAGGTCAGAATCTCGTACAGAGAGACTCTTATTTCA